GTACGTAAGTCGAGCGGAGATATATCAGTTCCTCGGACGTCTGAACCAATTCCGACATAGTCTTGACTCCCGGCACCGCCGTGACGTGTACATGGCAGTCAATGAGACCTCTGTGTGTAAGGCATTCGCTTGAGTGGAGGGTCTATCACCACCGCGCATGTCTACTCACGGGCATAGATACTTCCCAGAGAGGTCCACATCAATGGATCGAGGGTCGCTGTCAGCCTGAGAGGTGTGAGCCGGGCTCTGCCTTCTCGCACTGGGTGCGATGGCGATGATCAGGCCGTCCTCCATGATGACATCGTGGGGACCGTCCAGGAGTACAGATCTCGCCGGATCGACGACCTGCACGTTACGCAAAATCAAACAAGAGGTTGTCGTCCGGGCCCAAGGCTTCAATGCAAGCTTAGGCAGTCTAGTAAGGACGGGATGGATGTATCAGTAGGGATCTTCAGCATTGTACTACTACGGGGTGAGTGCGAAATGAGCGGAACTCACAAGGAGTCTCTCGTCTTGTCTGGTGATCCAGGATACGGGGACAGCATGTTGAGAGCAGGAAATGTCAAGCATCTACTGAAGCCGGGTGTAGTGGCATGCTGGCGTGCTGGGGCCCTGGGAGAATGGATGGGCCGTGCAAGGAGACCGGGTTCCCGCCGCTTCCATGTCGATAAGACTGAGTGTCAGCTGCTGCAGCTTCTCAGGCTATCGAGGACTCCGATGAGCTCCCAGTCGGTAATCTAGACAAATTGGACAGCCTAGGTGCAAGGGATTGGTGGGGCAAAGTACAAGGGGTATTTTGGTAGCGCGTAATTATCTGCAGATGACGGGATACGGTCGATGAGGAAGAGTTTGAACTGTGAGCTTGGCAAGACCCAGGAAAGATCCACATCATCTGCCGCTGAATCCGATCTAGAAGCGCCGGTACATTCGTGTGCCGAAACCCTGCACATCGGGCCTGCATAGACCGTCAGGATGATAAGTACATATGTAAGAAGTTCGTGATATACGACGCTCACAGACGTTGTCATGGCCACACCAGGGTACCCAATCACATACTTAGAACCCCGCTACTGAAGTAGTTTTGGTCTTGAATTGCTTGTAGCGAACGGGAAACTCATGGAATATCTGAACCTGAGGCGGGTCTAGCGATGGCGGGATCCAGTAAAGCTCTGCATTGGATGGGAGCTCGAATTCGATGGACGGGTTGCGATCTATATACGGATTTAGTTAGCATGGAATAACACATACATCGATCGTGTCTGAACGCCGGCGAGGGGGGTCCGCCTAATACACGTAGTGGTACACCGTGGTCCCGATTCGATGTAGAAGTACTGTCCTTGGCGTGTCCAGCCACTGGCAGTCACGCCAGACTATCGCAGTCCGTCACAGACTTTCCCACGACCGGGTGACTTTCCTGGCGCATGGACACCTGCTTCTACTCTCATACGTAGACCTTAGAGACAGGCCATCCGCGGCGATTAGTTCGGGCTGCTTTGGGCCACACGGAGAGGCAAAGTGCGTTGTACAACCGTGACAGCGGCGCGGCATCTGGGAACCGTGGCATTGGCACCGTCCAAGGGTAGTATCGGCCGGAGCAGAGGTGTTCGCTGGCCCTCTTCCTGCCTCTACGGCCCCCGGACCCCTTTTTCCAAGCTAAGAAGAGCTTGCAGCATATCCGTTCCACGCCCCGGGACTGCCGAAGATATGACAGAACTCGCAGCAAACGTGCCGAGGCAACCCCAGCAAGCACTCGTAATGCAAATCATCGTCCGACGTGACCTGCTTGACGTTCGTACCGTCGCTTCTAATATCCTATGATCTGGTTTGATAAGTGGATGAGGCTTTCGAACACTTCCCGGCGCGCCTAATACGCCATACATCTCCATAGGCCGAGGGCTGGGGAGTCGGGCCACTCATGGCACAAGTCGCCCATGCCACCTCTGCGGTGAGTTTCTCATCGGACACTACGCGTTACGATACTGCGTATTGACCCATGAGGTACCTACAGGTTTTGCATGAGACAAGGGAGCGTGCCGAGACGCAGGCGTATCTCGACGACCTCGAGAACATGCGTAAGGTTGTGCGACCAGCTGGCCTTCATCAGAAGCTGATCATTATTGACGGCCAATCATCCGGCGTGTACAGGTTGTACTACAGGTGCGACCATGCCCCTAGTTCCGCCGGGTGGCCTTCGCTGACACGGGTCGTCCAAAGATACCGGACCAGGCCAGCATCGAACGTCTGGCGAGCCTCCTTTCGGCGAGCGACCCTCCCGTCCCGTATCATCTCTGGGTCGAGCAGCCAGAAGACGTACCGACGTGCCTCGCACTCGCCCCAAACAGGAGAGAATCCAAGATCAAGAAGGCGCTCGACAAGGCTGGCTGTCGCCTGTGGAGAGGGTAGAAGAATAGAGGCGGTACGAAGTCGTCATCAACGGTGCGCTGGGCTCCGTGAGTCGCAACACATTAGCTAGTGTATGGATTTATTTATGACTGCGAAGACAGGACATGTCGACGAACCAACTCGAAGCTGAGGCCAGACGGGCCACTGAGTATGCACCACAGATCGTGCCCGCTACATAGGCCCTTCTGGGTCGGCGTACATGAACATGGGGTTCGTCACGGATAGTCCGGCCCGCCTAGTGTATTCCTCAGCGAGCATTCTAGTATACTTGGAGTCCCTCAAAGAAATCGCAACCGGCTTCACTAACACCTTGGGTACGTCGCGATCCGATATGAGCTGGCATATGCAGTCGGCGCCAAAGGACGTACTGTCCTTCTCGTACAGGATGGCTTCAGGGATACAGGCAATGGGCCGACTTCCGTTGCTTCGGGATAGAGGTCTAAACGAAGCCTGAACGCCGCTTCCCAGAGCTTGCGAGTAAGCTTCCACGTGGTGTGTCGTTCCTCGGGGGAGAGTGACGCCATGTACACAGAGAACGCGTCAGGCGCGAGCTGCTGATCGCTGCACCAGGCAAATTCGACGGCCCATGTGAAGTGCGAGAAGTCGTGGATTGGCAGTTCAGACCCTTGAGGTATGTCGGCTAGGTCTGGTTCACCCGAACGGCGATTGTTGAATCTCTCTGCCGGCCAAGCCTCGCGGAGGATACCTGCAGTAACCAGAGGGATGTATGCTAGGTCTGCGCTCCAGCGATAGTAGGTCCAGTATTTGGACTCTGCATCCTCCTCTATTGGCGCATATAGTCAGAATCACAGTGTACAGGATGAGCGACAGTGACAAACCGTCCCAGTCGTAATATGCCTCCAAGTACTCCTTGGCCGACAGAGGTGTCAGCACTTCGGAACCAGAGAACTTGATCATACAATATGCTGGACGGGTTGGCTCAGTGATGTCGACGACCGTGATACCCTCGTCGTTCGCTATATGCGGTCAGCCGACCTCGTTGTCGTGTCATATAGTCGAGACGGCGTACGAAAAGCCCGACAACCTAAGTTGACGTCTAGATGCCTGTACGTAAGAGTAATCCCGTCAAAAGAGGTGGACCCAGTGGACTCGTCGAGATGGTTCATCCAGGATGCGCCTAGGAGGGATGCTGTGTATGGGCAAGGCATTTCTGGCATATCATCCTGCCTTTCGGCGCCGGGAGGGCCGTACTTGCCGTTCAGCTCTTGTAGCTCAGCTCGAATGACTGACGCGTTCCCCCACCTGCTGGCCGTTTTCAAAAAACGATATGTCGCCCGCACGGTGTACGACGCATGAGAGTAGTTGTGATCGAGCGCAGCGACACAGCGATACGCCTTGAGACCGCCCTTGAGATCCAGGCGGGCGATCAGGAAGACCTGGTGTCGCCGAACAAAGGGCGGTGTCTGCGGCAGAGTGAATGTGATCGAATCCATCATATGCTCTAGGAGACAAGGGCAGAGGTACAGGTCAGATGAAGAGTATCGATGCCGTCCGCTGTTCCAGGCAGGCGATGTGCAGCCGCATTCTACAAGTAAGCATGACCCTGGGAATCCATCTTCGTGCCACACGGTATCCACCTGCGGGGGAAGCAAGGTAAAAGTCACGAATTCTCGGATGTGCACAGCCAGCGCGCACATCTGCGGAACGTGAGAGCACCATGAACCTGGCAAGGAATGGTTGCAGATACGTATAAATACATCACCAGGTACAACATTTCATACGAGCGAGCTTGGAAGGAATGCGGAACATCGACCTAGGAAAGAGTGCACGACGACGGGCGGCTGCAGGACTAGTACATCTCAAGACTCATTCCGTCGTGAATCTCGTAGTCCGCGAGGGTGATATGATCCTTGTAGATCGTGTACCTAGAACATCGTGCATGCTACAGTGAGTAGGAAGGCGCGCAGTGGATATCAGTCAGAGACGAACCATTTCTTTAGCTGGATCTTCCTGTGATCCGTACCAGTCTGAGCAGCGATGAGCCTCTTGAGGTCACCGACCGTGTCATCGGGGCTGCACTTGACACGGACTGTACGCAGTGTCACAATCACCATGTGAGCTCAGAAACCGCCAGTTACATTCACCACGACTCACCTTTGCGCCCAAGGCGGTCGTTAGCAATAACCTGCGAGTACAGTGGTCGCGGTTACATGTCCAGATGAGGCGTGCGCGGAGGAGGTTGGCGGGCAGATTGGGCAGATCGAGAGAACATGTCAGTCATAACTCTAGACATCATCAGCCACATCGCACTCACTTCAATGAGAGGCATGATGTCGTGAAAGCGGTCGTGGGTAGGAGGCCTGTGGACTGAGAGATGAGGTCAAGCTGAGTTGAAGGTCGCGGTCCGGAGATGCGAGCCGTTAGGCGCTCATGTGCGTTTGACCGAAAAGGCAAGTCAGAAGGAAGGTTCTGGTTCCTCCTGCCTCCTGTGAGCTCTCCGACCTCATACAACTCGGGCTGCACAACTCAGGCACACAGCGTTCATGTATGGGTGCTCCTGAGAGGATTGGTTAGTGCGACGTAGGATTTTGGGGTGTGAACACCGGCTATGTCTCAGGAGCCCGAAGAATGGCACCTCCCGTTTAGCTCAGTTGGTAGAGCGCATCACTTGTAATGATGAGGTCAGTCGTTCGAGTCGGCTAATGGGAATGCTTTTGCTGGGCAGAGCTAGAAGTGACGCCTGACGCTCTTTAACAAGGGAATCATTACTATGTATATCACTACTCTTTGCTATCCGCTACACACTCAGAACTTGCTCACCTCCACTACTTCTCTGGTCTCGCCAATTTGTATACGAAGACCATGTCCCGACCACGGCGGCGTCACTTTCTTCCCAGGAGCCTCCTCGTACCCTTCCACCACACCGTCCCCGAAGAAAACGTAGCCAGGGATATAGCGGTCCACAAACCTAAGAGACGTATATCTTAGCTCACTTTGATGTGACGAGACATTGGCTGACTCACCTCTCGACCTGTTCATCGCTCATCCCCTTCCCACCGTTCCGCGCCTTCATATGGTGTTCTTGCTGCAGGCGCCACTTGTAGATGTACGTGTAAGGATGGTTATCCGGAGGTCTGATCTATCGCACAGGCGCTTTGCATCAGCGAAATTTACGCGAGTGGATGCGCCTGCCGTGCACTTGCCTGAATGAATGCGTCGAAGAGGTTCCACCAGGAGACGTAGTCCTTCAGGCGCTCGTTTATCTCCAGCACGTCCTCGAGACGGTATCCCTTACGCTGGAGAAAGTCGTCTTCGAGGCCCTTGACGGGTTGCGCATACCGGCGCTCAAGCTCCTCCCGGGAGATCGGGTAGAACCCCACGCACCAGCCCTCGAACAGGACAACGTCGATGGGAGGGCGGACCATCGGGCCATGGGGTACGCGGTCGCCCTCGCCGTCAAAGGCGCTCTTATCGAAACTCGGGAGCTCGAGATCGAGCCCAGCTGCACTGGGGTCATTGATTCGCTTGAGCTTGTTGAGGAGCTCTGTCCCGAGAGGTACGTCGTGCGTGCCGGGCTGTCCGCGGCCCTTGAGCAAGGCGTTGGAGGGGTGTGAGGCGGCCACATTAATCAGGTCATCGTGCGGGAGGTAGAGATCGTCCAAGGAGAGTACCGCGACTGAGAGGTTGTGCGGTGGTGCCTGGAGCACATCTCGGAGGATTGAGGTCAGGAACGTCTTCCCGCTGCCTTGAGGGCCTTGCACGCCCACAATCAGCGGTGGAACAAAAGTGTTTCCACCGCTCCTATCCGAGTACTTCGCGCGATGCGCTGCGAGCTCCTTCAGAATGTGCGACTCCATGTGCGGAATCGCCTCTGGAACATCGGAGGGTGCCTGGAGTAGATACAACATGAGCAGGAGCTCATGCGCGATACTGAACGGCTCACTCACTTCTTTCGCCATCGCCTTCAAGATTGCTATCCTGCGAGTCCTGGTGGTCGCAATCCAACTATCCCTGAGTCCTCCATCTCATCGCTCGCTGTTCTCGAGGTGGTTCGGCACAAGGGGAGCGGAGGACCGAGGTCCCGCGACCCGAAAGCGCGGCCCGTATACTGCGGACCCGGCGCCTACGCGCATTCTCCTCCGGCAAACGCCGCGCGAACGCAGGACAGCGTTGCGGTCGAGCGTCGTGTCTGCGCAGGTCCTTCACGCTCCTCCTCTCCGCCGGCCCTCCTCCCTTACTTTCGTTCTCGCCGTCGACGCAGAGGTGTACAAAACGGTGCAAAAATGATGGCTTCATCGGATGCAGAGTCATCGGGACCCATGGAGCCCTTGACGAACTACCTCGCGAAGGGTCAGCGGCAGTACCAGCAATGGCTGGACCGCGTTACCCCGTTTGTGCTCTACCGCTGGCTAGGGACGGCGGGCTTGCTGGCGTTGTTTGGGCTGAGGATCGTCTTTGCACAAGGGGTGAGTTCCTGGAAGCTTCACGCTATGCGGGTAGGATGATTGACGAGAACTTCTATATTTCTGTCCTTCCTCGAATATAGTGGTATATTGGTACGTTGCGCCCGGCTATGTGGAACTCAGAACTGCCATTGACGCTTCTCCACAGTGGCCTGTACGTCTATGTTCTGCGCTCTCCACAGATAACCGTTCCTTGACCTCGCCACCACCCATAGACGCGCACGCAATCTACCTGCTGAACCTCCTCCTCGCCTTCCTCCAACCTAAGTTCGACCCTTCGGTTCAAGATGACCTCCTCGCAGACGAGCTAGAAGAGGGCGGCGAGGGCGGCCCCTCGCCACTGCCGTCGCAGAGAGATGACGAGTTCAGGCCGTTCGTGAGGCGTCTGCCCGAGTGGCAGTTCTGGTGCGTCCTATCGCCAGTTCTGATATCTGCGGCGTCGTCGGTGTTCAACAGACATGCTTGTTTGATGTCCCACAGGTTGTCCGCGACGCGCGCCACGCTCATAGCGTTCATCTGCACGTTCTTCGAGATGTTCGACGTCCCCGTCTACTGGCCGATCCTCGTCGTCTACTGGTTCGTCCTCTTCCTCCTCACGATGCGCCGCCAAATACAGTAAGTGCCGCCGACTTACCTACGATAATACGCCCTGCTGAATGCACAATCACAGACACATGATCAAGTACAAGTACGTCCCCTTCGACATCGGTCGCAAGGCGCGCTATGGCTCGCACCGGTGATGGTTCGCGGCGCTAGGGTTGCGCTATGCATTGTACGTGTGGTGCTTCTTGTAGTTTGTATGCTCTCTAACTCCATCCCTAGGTCGTTACGCGCTTACTACGACCTAGATGACTCGCTACGTATACCATACCAGAGTGCTACGTTCACCCGGGATAATCCAGAGACGTTTGCAGCTGTACCCTCGTGATTTCTGAAACGTGGTATATACGGCCGCCGGACAGTCTGACAGTGCAGATGTACATGGAAGGTACGGATAGCACACAAGGGAGCGTGAGCCGGTGATCTAGAACACGAAAGGCACGACGGCCTTGCGCTCCTTCGGGTAGTCGGGGAAGCGGGTGTGGTACCACTTGTGCCCCTTCCACGCGCGGGGGAGCATCAAGAACACCTCGGAGAGGAAAAACAGCCATGGCGGGCTGACCGTGTTGAGGAACGCGGAGGACGAGGCGAGGGACGGGAGTGGGGACGCGGCCAGCGCGAAGCCAAGCCACTCTATCCACTCGCAAAAGTAGTTCGGATACGAGATGTAGCGGTATAGGAGGCCGTGCGGGACGGCGTAGTGCTCCTGTTTGCTCTTCGTCTTCCCGTTGTTGTCGTCGTCTTGCTTCCCGTCGGCGCTCTCGTCCTTCGCCTTGCCCTTCGCCTTCGCCTTACGGCGGATGTTGAGCAGGATCTCGTCGTGCACGATGTTGCCCACGAGCCCCGCGGCCCAAAGGCCTACCCCGGCCCAGAAGAGCGGGCGGCTGAATGCGCCGGCGAGGAACGCGCGCGCGGCGGGCGAGGAGAGGTACGCGCCCATGAGCGAGCCATTGACGGTGTTGAAGAGCACGGCGGAGAGGGGAACAAAGATGTGCGACTTGGAGCGCGAGGGCGTGCGCAGGGGCGAAATGATCGCGCGGTTGAGGTAGTGCAGGAGGAAGAGCGCGGCGAGGAACGTGGGCGGGTGCGCGGGCGTGAGCGGCGGGGCGGACCCGCCGGCCACGTAGGAGAGCGGAGAGCGCAGGAAGGCGTAGAGGAAGGTCACCGGGGAGACGAGCTCCATGAATATCCATGACTTGATGCCTGGGTGGGCAACAGCTGGATGAGCGGAGGGTGGGAAGGCGAGAAGGGTGAGGTACGTACCGTCTACGAGGAATGTGCTGTCCGAGGATGGCGAGAAACGTCCGAAGGGCGCGTCGAAGATGAAGGTGGGCGGGCACAGCAGTGGGGGTATAATCGCAAACCACTTGCGCGCAGCTAAGAGCGACCGTCAGTCTCGAATGTGCGCACCGCCGGAGACCCACACACCGTCGTACAGCGCCTGGGCTTCTTGTACGTTCGTCATTCTAGCAATCTAGCAATGTGTGTGCAGAATGTCAGCAATATTCGACAATGTTTGTGAGTCAGAGCACCTACCTGGTATGTGGTGTTCGTCTAGAGGTTGAATTTGAAGGACGTGGTAGGCGCTACCCCGCATTCTCATGGCTCGTGGCGTCACTGGCGTTGTTTGCGTGTGTTAGGATCAAAAGCCTCCGCCTTCCTATTCCAGCGACAGCAGCATCGTGCCATGCATGTCTGTTGTCCGCTCTAAGTAGTGGAAGATCGCTTGCAACCCGCCATCATTCGATCACATCTCAATAATTACTCTCTTAAACCTCCGGGGGCTATCTTACAACATGATTCGCTCCAGCTTCTGCACTACTAAGTACTCTGGCTTCTCTGCTGGGTCCACCTGTTCAGAACGGTCGTCCTGCTCGGATAGCCTTTGCAGCCTCGCTCTGCGCCTCGTTCCGGAGGTATCTGGCATAGATCTCGGCATAGTGCTCCTTGTCCTGCTCTATGCGTCAGTATCGCGACAGTCAATCACTGTAACAAGGCGACATACACTCTGAGTGTTGCGCACGCTCTCGCGCGACTCGAGCTTCTCCGCATACGCCTTCCACGCACTGCCAGCCGCTTCCCTCGAATACCCGCGGTTCTCAGCCAGGATGTAGTCCCTGACGACCCAAGGCGCGAGCGCAACGTCGACGAGGGTGAACTGGTCCCCGAGGAAGTACGGACCCTTCACCTTATCGGTGAGGGTGCGCAGCGCCTTGTACAGCTCTTCGAGGTTCTCCTTCTGCTTGTCCGGCTCCTGTGCCATGATGGTGCGCATGAACGCGGGCACGATCTGCTTCGCGACGTGGTCGACCCAGAGGCGGACGTAGGCGCGGTCGAAGGGGTCGTCGGGCAGGAGGTGCGGCTTATACTCTGGGAACGCATCCTCGAAGAATTCGCAGAGGATGAGGGACTCGTACAAGGCTTTCCCCTTGTATTCGATCGCGGGGACGAGGCCCTTGGGGTTAATGTCTGTGAGGCAGTCGGCGTCAGCGCTATTCGCGGTGAGCAGCTTGTTATGTCGAACGTACCGAGGAAGTGTTTCTCCTTCTTGTAAGGGTTCACTTCCTTGTACTGGTACGGGATGCCGCGCTCTTCAAGCGCGATCCAAGAACGCTGCACGTACGGGCAGAACTATTGTTCGGGCGT